TGTTATTCACAAAAGATATTAAAGTTCATTATGTTCCCCTAAAGAAGTCATGATTTACTGGGATGGAATGAATTAGAATGCCTTTCAAATCCATGTGAAAAACAGCCATTTAGATTCAATTTTTAGATTCTACGCTAGGTAGTAATTCACTATCTGTCAGGTTTGCATTGTGGCCACCACTGTTGATGGCCCACCTTCATGATGCACACTAAAATGTTGTTATCAGGTGGTTGAAGGCAATGGTCAGGAAACCTTGCCTAAACCTAGGGGTCGTACTAGTTAGCTCTCACCAGTCAGTCAGCAAGGTGTGTCTGCAACCATGGAGGAAGTGAAGTCCCCTCTGAGATTTGGAAACCATTTCTTAGCATATAAAAGCGCTTACAGCGCTATTTATGTAAAATATCTATCAATGTTTAGTGCCTTTATCATGCTTGCTGTCCTTTATTTCTGAGGCAGTATTCAGACGATGTTACAGTCGGATGCGTTCTGGAACTTTTCCATCTCACAACCACCAGTTTTGTTATCTAGCGCTACAGGAGTATCAATGTTATAGTTGCAAAGTGAGTTTATATGTCCAGGCCAAGTGAGTATTTTTCAAAGGGTAATGCGTGTCTGCTTTTTGAGGAAATTAGGTGAAGTGTTCAAAATTGAAACAGAAAGTCCCTCTGACAAGGCGTTAGGAATCCAGCTGGTCATTTTGCAATTTACACAAATCGAGGTGAGATTTCTCCACATTTCACCATGGAAACCGAAATTATTCAAATTTCAATATATGATCTACTTGATACTATAAATCACTGTCGAGTAAACAAGGATATCTGTAAAAAAGCAACATACTACTGATTGACTGAGATCAGTAGTTGTATATTACTCACATCAACCAGCCATACCCGATAGCCAGATCTAAGTGTTTTAAACACCGGCCGATCGTTTTGCTCTTTTGCGATTGATTTCATCACCTCTGTACACCAAATGAGTGAAATGGTTACCAGGTGTTTAAAAAGCTTCGTTCTGGCTAGAAAGTGCAACTATTCATTTCAGTTTTGTATAGTTTTAAGGTTTTGAAAAGGCAAATATTACTGCGAGATAATATTATCGTAGTATCAACATCCAGAAGGGCATAAAGCAGAAGTTGAATCTCTATCTAGACATCGTTGATTTTGAGAAAGTCATTGATAGCGTCGACTGTGAAGCAATTTGTCAACTGCTTCAACGCTATGCAATAGTCCAAATCTTTACTAATCTCATATGATGCATGATGTGTATGATGATACCACATTTCAAATGACTCACAACTGAAGTCTCAACAAAGCCTTTGAAGTGAATACAGAAGTAGGACAAGTTCGCCGACTATCACCGATGACATTCCTGATTTCACTTATCTGGTTCATGCAAATGCTCGTATGCATCGAGGAGACAGGAAAACACTGAACTGAAAAAAGACCCTTAGACTATTTAAACCGCACAGGTGACTTATGTGTAATGTCACAAAGTCTCGATTATCTTCAGACCGAAGCCAACAAGTTGCCAGCAGTAGCGGACACAGAAGACATGACTTCCGGTGAACATAGAGAAGACAGCAACAATAACAAGCAACGATCAACATCGACGGCAGAAATTTGAAAGAGGTCACCTCTTTCGGTTACCTGACCAGGCAGTATTGGTTCAACTATAGGCGGTACGGATGATGCTATTAAAGCCCAAGATCGGAAAGGTTGAGCATATCTTCATTAGTCTGAAAGAAGATTAGAAATCTACTGTACCAAGCTTCTATATGACTCATAGACTTGGCGCGTCACTGAAAGCATATCCAATAGACCGCTGCAAACCTTCACAGACAGCTTAATTCGATGGCTCCATAGACAGGATGAACAACCAGAAACTTTAAGGATGAATCAAGTTCCCACAACCCAATCAACAAACATTCCGAATTAAGCGGAGATGGATCGAATATAATACTGAGAAGACCGTCGAGTCATATAGTGTGCCACGCTTGAGGGAAGAACAAGAATGGCGAAAGACGAGTTGGAAGTTGGTCTGAAAGTTGAACAGAAGAAATCGTGTTTAGCAGAGATGAGAGACTACGGAGAGAGTCGTAGAGTCAGCTAAAGACTATTGCAGAAGACGGTTTTAATGGAGATGTGGTGCTGAAACCCCATTTTCGACTGGAAAACTAATAATAATATTAGAATTTAAGGCCTTATGAAAAAAATAAAATAAATGCCAGATATCTACTGCGAACACACATATACATGTTTCAATGGGTTTATGAGTAGAATTGTTTATTGTGAATTTGCTGTAAGTCTTTTAAGATTCTGGCTTGAAATATACTTGGTAGACTGCAGTGTAGGAAGAAGATAGAATCACAATAGTCATATGCCTAATACCATAAATGACAATCAGGAAAGAAGCATAAATACATGATGGTATATATTACTGAGTGTTTGAAATAAGTAGTTGTCTAACGGTAACATCAACTAGTTCAAAAATGTAATTATTATTGAAATTTGATTCAAATTTCTATACTCAAAGACGGATATATATGGAGTTACAGACGGAACTGACGAGGATATCAAAGCAAAGATCGGGAAGGCAAAGCAAGCTTTCATCACTCTCAAGTCTGTGTGGAGACCAACGGACACTCAGCATGAGAAGTAAGAGATGGATTTTCAACTTCAATGTAATGAAGTCAGTACTACTTTTTGGATCAGAGACTTGGCGCATCATGAAGAGCACCTCAAACAGACTACAGACCTTCATCAACAGTTGTCTTCCTTCAATACTCAAGATCAGATGGCCAGAAAGCATCTGTAACAGGGATCTCTGATAGAAAACCAACGCAGGAAGAACCAATCGCGCAACAAATATGCAGGAAGAAATGGAGGTGGATTGGCCATACTCTGAGTAAACAAAGCACCAAGTGACATTACACGCGATGCTCTCAAATGGAACTAAATGGGAAGCGGCAAGTTGGTAGTCAGTGAGAGGGTGGCATGGTGGAGGTGATGTGAAGAGGAGATGAAAGCTTGTGGTCAGACGTGGAGTCAGGTGAAAACGTTGACGGAGAACCCCAAACACAATGGAGACGTGTGGTTGAAGTTCCATGTTCCTCTAGGAATTAAAAGAAACAGTAATAATAATGTAATGGAGTTGCAGGCCTTTCTGCTGCACAAATGGACTATCTAAAGTGAAAATCAATTAAACTGATGAGAGGTCAAACGGCCAAGGCATATTCAATTTCGAGGTAGTGATAATAATTAGCTTTGTTTCAAAACAGTACTTAATGAAACGGTGTGGAATTCTCAGCATTTGTAACCAGAATGTCCTGGGTTCGAATCCCGGTGGGTGCGTACTGCTGAAGAGTCCCAAACTAGGACGACGGAAACAGCTGTCCAGTACTCCCAGGTTTTCCAGTGGTTCTCTAACTGACGTCAGTTCATGATTAAATCCTCCATGCAATCAAACAAAATCCCTACAAAACCAATACTTGAAAATTTGCTAAAATATTCCATCTAATTTACGCAACAGCAACAACAATAACAAAAAGAGAAAGTGTATTTACAGGATAAGGGGAACCGAAATTCATAAATAGCAACTTTATCTCATCAACTATCACAAGAATAAATTCAAAAATGTACAAAAAGCCATAAAATGATAATAGTAATAATAATTTTAATAACTAAGATTATACGATAACTGAAATAATGTCGCCATAAATTGAAAAGAGGAGAAGATCAAAGAGCCATTTATTTTGCGTCTATTACATTATGACTTCTTGTGCTACCTGATGAGGTGAGAGAGAGAGAGTGTGGGGGAAGGGAGCGTTGTGAATACAGAAGTGTTAATGGGAGTCAGTCGGAAGTCAGCTGGATTTAGGACCATTTCACACATGAGTTATCCTATCCAGGTGTCTGTCGACAGCAAAATATTACTGAACTGACTTAATGGCACACCATTTGCCCTACTTAGAACTTCTAATACCCTTCTCAATATGACGCAGTCTTTTTTGAGTAGGCGGGGGGGGCGCAAGGGGAACAATAAAGTACAATACATGTAATGTAAGAGTTAACAAACTGGGAAAGTAGAGACTGAGGGAATCATTACTGTCTGGGTCTCTTAATGTAGAAGCTTAGATGGAACATTTCCTCGGAATTTAAAAAAAGTTTGGGATGATAAATTAAGGTCAGAGAAAAGAACTATTACCAGGTATTCTATGCTTGACTTGGTTTCTACTTCATTGTACTCTATACTACAAGCTTCATGTGAACAAACCGGTTTATACCTAAAGGTGAAGTTAACTGTCTGAGATCTGGAGGGATCTATAGTAAGAAATTTTCGCCTGGATAAATGGCTTATTTCCGACAAAAGGTTATTAAGTTTCGAACAGTCTGATCTGGACGTAACCGGTAAAGAGACCGACTAGATAACCCAGATAACGAAGGTGATTTCCCCTCTGAATGAGTCAGACGATGTAGGAAGGGAGAATAAATAAGAGGAGTGAGTGTAGCACCTTGCGAGAAAACAGCTTCAGTAAACATGACAGAGGAAAAATTTCCTTTATATATGTACGTCGTTGGCACAGTGGTTAGGACTCTCGCCGACCATTCACATGGTCCGAGGTTCGATCCCCTGCCGATGCACACCCAATATCTATAGTCGGCCTGCGAAATTTGGGCTACCGATATCCATGATGAAAATTCCATACTTGAACCAAAAATGCGGTGTGGAATCAAGCTGTAAATCAAAAAAAATAAATAAATAAAAATAAAAATATACCACAATCTGATGGAGAAATAAGAATGCACTCAGTTAACAGCTCAGGACTCGGTTTCTGTCAGGGGAAGTTTATCTGACAGAGGACATCCGAGTGCAGAGTTAAAAAGCGGATATAAGTGTATATATATATATATATATATATATATATATATATATATATAGTAGATATGTGATATATTAAGCAGTTGTATCTGTTTTCTTGTTCTTCTCTACTTGAATTATAGGCGTGAAGCTCCAAGTGTTTTTGCCTATGACGACAGTATATACATTTGTGGAGGAGCGAATAAAGCAGGCTGCCTAAACAGAACAAATATTTTCTCTTTGAAAACTGGGGAATGGAGTCAGGGGAAATCAATGATTTTGCATCGTGCATTTACAGGTAAATTTAGGCTATACAGTCAATTACTGTTGTCTGTGAGACGAGGAGTAATCATGGCATAAATGTTTGTTAGAATGTGCAACTGAAAAAAAAATTATAAACTGAAACTTCATTTCAGTTGGTGATTTATGGTGATTTGATTAGTTTCCAGGCAGATCACGAACTGGCGTCAACGAGAGAGCTGTTGGAACTGATGGAATTCTGGCGCATGCTTTGTCCTAGTTTGGGATTCTTCATCAGTACGCATTCACCATTCCACCAAGGATTGAAACCACGATCTACAAGTTGCGGGGAGAGTTTATTGACCATCCAGCCAATGGGGTGGAATCCAGTGGCCAGCAGGCCAGTGTCACACTGGACAGTATCTGTCCTCACAGCCTAATTGACATGTGTTATTGTTCCTTCGTTTCTTAAGAGAATGGAGTTTGATTCGCTAAGACAATTCAGTGAGGAGAATGAGGAAGTTTTCACCACATCTAGTTTACTGCTGAAGGAAGGAATCTTGTGGTATGGGTGCTTCCTCTGTTAGCCTCTGAAGTAAGGGACTCAGTGTTCTGTCTACTTTCACATAAGTAACAACAATTTGGCTTATTTTTGATACACTGCTCCATTGCCAACTCAAATAAAGGTATTGACTGGAGTGCAGCTAGGGGATATTTTCCAAATAATAGTGAGCTAGAACGCCGTGGGTGAATGGGTAATGGATCAAAATGAATATCCTGGGTGTAAACTGTGATGCGGTTATGGGTGTGCACTCCTGAAAAGTCTTAAAACAGAACAAAACAGATATCTAGTGATAGCTGGTTAATATCGGCTAGTTTACTGGCCGGCTTGGAAATAGAGGCAAGGTTGGGAATGGGGATGGCAAACTCACCTTGCTGTGGGAACTTCAAAGCTTAGAAAAAAAATATAAAAGTAAATCTATTCTCATCCGCAGCTGGGGAACACGGATGATGCTGAGTGTTAAACACCTCAGGCCAGCTCGTTTATTGATGAGTCCACTTTCAATAAATGAAAAATAAGCATAGAAACATGAAATGCAATAACAATGATTGAATCTGGCTAGAACCCACAGTCAGACAGTTATTAAAAACCATCATCGCCCTCCAGACCAAACAGCTGTAAGACACATCGCACAGAACAAATTGTCAAAACTTAAAAATGGTATGGAAATACATATAAACTGCTACTTGATAAAGTTGCTGTATTTCACAATTAATATTTTTACATAAAACTATATACTACTGATTGATGAAGTTGAGTAGTTGTATACCATCCACACCACTCAGTAGTGCCTTATAGACAGCCAGATGGAGGCGATCTAAACATCGGACAGCCATCTCGTTCGTTTGAGGGCAAGTTCATCATCGGTGTTCCCTATACGACTCAGTTCGGACGGCAGAATGATTTCAAACCAGTCAATTTCTGCGCAGATATTTTCGCGGACTGGTGACACCGTAAATCAAATGCAATCTGAAATGCACGCAGTTTGAGGAGTGAAATTTTTACCACAGCTTCACAACTCTCGCCCCTCCCCCGACGATTAAAATAACCTACGGTGTTTACATAACCTCGATCTAGTTGGAAAGAAGACACTGGTGGCTGATGTGAGTATAATTATTATTATTCCCTTTGGTTCTGGGTGGAACATAAAGCTTCAGGAACATATCTTCATTCTCTACTGTCCTCTTCAGCTGGCTAACATACCAACTGCACATAACCTATCATCTTCTCCTCCATAAACGATCTCCTTCTTGCCACCCTCGCAATGATGACCCACTCATAGCTTTCCATTGGGATTCCACTTAGGCTATTGTCCGCATTGTGCACGTATGTCCAATGCATTTCTGTTCTCTCCAACACATTTTTGAGCAGTAGGCTCGTGGTCGGTTTGTTCCTAAAGTTTCTTGTTTTTAATTCTTTCTGGCCGGTCAGTCATCTGACCTTCAGCATGGAGGCAGCGAAGATAGTTGTTGATAAAAGTCTATAACTTGTTTTAAATCCTTTTTGTGACACGCTGGCCTAGTTTCTGACCAGCATAGAAGCACTAAGTAACTTCACATTGGTGTTGAAAATGCGAATCCTGTTCCTTAATCTGAGTGCAGTAGATTTCCCAACTGGTTTCAGGTAGGTCGGTGAAGGCGTAACTTACCTTTCCGATTCTGACTGGCTATAACATTTTCATCCGTCCCTCCTGTCTGTGGTTGAAGCGATGCAGGCTGTCCAGATAAATGAAGGAGGCAACCTCTGTCAAATCTCTCCCGTTGATGGCGATTTGTACCAGGTTTTGTTGCGGTTCGTGGGTTATCTCCATCACCTCAATCTTATCTGTGTTCACCTGGTGTTCTAGCTTTACGGGCAATTTCTTCAACCAGTTTGTTGGGTTTTTACCCGCTTCTAAGTCCTCAAGTTTGTGTGACATTAAACATAATCATCCATGCGCGAAATCCAGATCTTCTAGAGTCTTCATATCAGTAGGCTAGTGTAGTCCTGTTTCCTCACTCAACACAGTTCCACGCATAATTCATTCCACCCCAACTAGGAATATCATCGGTGACAATAGGCAGCCTACCAGCTTGTCTTACTCATGTATTCACTTTTCATGCCTCGCTGAATTTCCCTTGTGTGAATCCTATGAAACGTGGCATTGTCTTATAGCTTTGGTTAAATGAGGTTGATGAAGACTTGGGCACTGCACGCCATAATGTTGAAGCAGTTCCCAAATTACTTCTCGGTCAATGGAGTCTGTTGAAGGCCTTTACGAAGTCGATGAAGTTGAGGTAGGGGGGGGGGTTTGTTTGCCATTCCATGTTTTGTTCTGTGATGACTATGCCTACAGTTGCAATATGACCAGAACATGACTTGCTGATGTTAGTGGTATACAACTACTCAACTCACTCAGTCAATCGTAAACGGTTTTTTTTAGTGTTGTGCTTGCTTCCTTGATTATCATTTACAATATCATGCAGATCACTTGCTGGGATCTGAGTAATATGGGTTCCGATGGGAACTGTGGTGGTAATTTCACCTCCTTGAAACTGTGTGCACTTTACTATTTCATTTCCTCATGTTCTCAGTGGAACATAGAGTTTCAAGCCTGAGCTTTGACGTTTCAGTTGCAATGGTGTTCTTTTGAAGAATGAGGTTGCTAGCCTTACATCTAACACTCCTTCTTCCCCGGTCTTACTACCAGTTAGGCGACGTTTAGGAGTATAAGGACCAGGAATCGAACCTAAAAAGTCGCGTGAGTGGTTGGCGAGTGTATTCTGCCCTTGAACCTCCAAAGCAACTGAACCAACTAATTCGCAAATTTTGAATTCGAATATTTTTGGAGAGGGACTATTGTCCAAAAAATATTCAGCAGTCATCTAGATGATTTATAATGGTTCTGTGGGTCTTTAAGACTTTTACAGTGATTGTGCAAACGTTTCTAGAAGTTTCTTTACTTATAAATAGTGATTTCTTGAGACAACCCCTAAAGACAAAATCTTGTTACCTGTCACTAAGCTGTAAAAATGAGGATATTAATTCAGTTCTGTGATAATGTTACAACCGAAATAGAAAGCAAACTTATACAAAGTGTAATCTTTGATTGGACACCAGGTAATAAGTGACTAGTGTCATGTGTCCAACCACTGGTGTTGGTGAAGACTGAATTCTGTCGGTCAACTTTACAATATGGTGGCGATTCTAGATACCTAGATACCAGGGTGAACTGTGATTCGCTGTTACTAGATGGTTGGGAAGAATCGCCAGGAAGCTGTGCAGATAATTTTTTCTATTCCTTCACGTTCCCAGTGGAACACAGGGCTTCAAGTTAGAGGCCTGAATTTTCGGTGACAGTGGTGTTTCTTTTTTACGAGATTGGGTTACTAGCCTCGTGCCCAACCTTGCCTCTTCACCAGTCTTATTGTTACTGGCTTAGTGAGGTAAAGGAGTGCGTTGGCCGCAGATTGAACCCCGGAGGATATGTGTGGTTGGCGAACATTCTACTGCTATGTCACTGACTCACCTTGCAGATAATTACTAACACGAATTTCATTGGGAGAATGTAGTAATTTTAAACAGAGGAAACCTAAGAAATACCAGGCAATATCTGAAAGCCTGGTACTCAAAAGAATCAGCGGTAAACAGACGAAATTTACCAAACTGATAAAAAGATCACATGACAATAAAGTTCAAATTTCAAGTCAATAAAAATGATCAATGTAAATTCACAACCAATGACACAATAGTAGTTTTTGGGAAATACAGTTAGTTATATCACCCTTCATTCATTTCATACTAAAACCTGCGTTGAGGAGGTTGTCAAGAAGAGCCACGAAAGCTTCGCATTTAAACCCTCAACCAGAACAGAAAACACAACTAAATCAAAACCATCCACCTTAAAGATGACTACTATTGTAGCAGTCGATTTCAATCTCATCAATTTTGACTACACTATAGGAATCTTAGAGTTAAATCTAATCTGTGGTTATAAATTAATACATATCTACTGTCAGTTTGCAAGGATCTAATTTACTACAGGCTTGATCCCGAGTTTGTGTTAGTTAGAAAATCACTGGAAAACCTGGGAGTACTGGCTAGCTATTTCGTCCTGGTTTGAGATTCTTCAACAGTGCTCAGCCCCCGGGACTTGAACCCAGGACTTCCTGACTACAGGGCGGGCTTGCAGACAGTTTGTCCATTGGGACCAGACCCAATGGCTAGCCCATGAACTCCACCACTTGCCAGTTGGCGACAGAATAGCGTAACTACCAGCCAGTGTCATCGGCGGATGACTCATCTTTCAGCTGAGTTGTTGATAATAAATATCTCACTACTATTTTCTCCATTTATTTCCATTAGCTACACGAATATGGAAGGAATTCGTCTTTTTAATCGGAGGCCGAAATAATACAGAACCGTCAAATTTAATACAGGCGTATAATTTAAAAACAAATGAATGGGCTGTATTACCACAGACACTGCCCTATTACGTTTCAAGTTGTTGTGCGATAACTACAAATGTCTTGTAAATTGCCAGTTTATTTCATCTCAAAGGTGACTTATACATATATATATTATAAAAACTGTATTTAATCATTCTATAACTTTTTGTGTAGCATCCAATGGTCCCGCTAGACAGTGGAGAATGATAGTCTAATCTGGATCGTGTGATGTATTTGTGCAACACATTTCGGGATATGTGAACATAGACACACGTAACTGTGATAGGCATTTATATGAAAGCGAATAAAGCACCAATAGGTGAAGAAAGAATACTGAAAGAAACTCTGGCTGAAAATAACTAGCCCCCACCCTCGTCGAGGGTTAATAAGGAGGTATAAAGCGGTCATTGCACCAAGATGAGTATTACCAAGGTAACATGCACACGTCAAGGTAGTAGCTCGACACTTAGACAGTGACTTTTTTCATATGGCTAAGATCCGCATAATTGAAAATATTAGGCCTGTATATCTATCCAGTCGCTTAGAATGTATGAAAAGTAATGTCGCTTTTGGTCACACATACATAAGGAGAAATTATCAGTTTCTGTGACTACGAGTCTCAGAGCATATTTCTAGGTGGCTTGAGAAGCGAAGGGGATCCCCCAAAACCTACTGATGGTAAGCGAAAACTGATTGAACAAAGTACCACTCTCATTTGGTGCATATGTAGTTCTGGTGCTTTCTAAGAAGAGCGATAATTTCTGAGACAAATCGCAATGGAAACTGGCTTCCCTCCAAGTTTTATAGACAAGAGCATACAGTCAGAAGCTATGAAATGTGACTCAACGTCCCTAACCAACAATGGCGTGTATGAACGTTGAATTCAAAGGTGACTTGACTGCTGATGTCCTTAAAAGAAGGGTCTCACAGTCCGTGACAAGCACATTCTCTACAGCATCATCGAGAACAGTGTTTTCTCTAATGTATGTGTAGAACTTGAGCACTGTGGTAGAATGCAGTTCCATATTAGATGAGTTCATTTTGAATATTACACAGTGATACAGTGTTAGTAACCGGATGACGTTTCAAGTATAAATTATTGTTCATATTTATATCAACTAAGTCTTACATCTTCACGTGTCAACAACTTATTAGATTTCGCCTGATAATGAACCAGTTTGTACAAAATCAAGTATTCGGCATCCTCGAAGCTTTTAGGTTGGTTCAGTGTATACCGACTCTTCTAACTCCTTATGGTTTGTTAAATGATGTAGTCCACCACAATCAAGAATATCACCGGTGATAGTAATCAGTCTTGCTTTACTGCTTTGATCCCTTCACAGTCTTCCCTAAGCCTCCCGGTCGTGAATGACTTCATATATGAAATCATCATCATCATCATCATCATGTAGCTGCTGAATGAGGTTGATAGATACCTCAGGCACTCCGTAGTTATGCAGCAGCCGACAAATTACTTCATGGGCAGAGCTTTTTCAAAGTCTATTGTAATTGAGGCTGGAGATCTGACTTTCATTCTGTGCTCTATTAAAGTGAGCTAGTCTTGACCACATGGAATAAATTGCGGTATATTTTACGGAAGAATATATAGTTATACAATCACGTCTTCAAATATCTCTTCTTTAGATAATTAATCTGTAGAATAAGTCTTCATTTCAAAGAATTATTTTGAATAGGTTGCATTGCATTGTTGAAACATGCAAACAAATAAAAATTTGACAAATTACCATTGCAAATGAGTCATTGCTATTGTCATTGATGTATGAATGCCTAGGTGTGTTTGTATGTGTGTAGGTAGGCGCGAAAAAGTACTATGCATAGATTACCGGTTTGAACAGGATACTTGCAGAAAGGATTAATTAAGCCTTGGGTATTTTTTTTTGAAACAAAATGGAATTTTACTCTGTAACTTCAGGGATCTTTCTGAACAAAGTGAAGAGGAATAAGCTGCCTGTCCTCAATGCAAAATATGCCTGACTATCTACAAACTACTGTCGCTTTATATGAAGCTATACAGTTTGTTTTTAATAATCCATATTACCGACAAGTAGGTGGAATCGATATGCGTTCACCATTAGGTTTGATTTTAGCAGACTTCTTCATCGCAAAAACTGAAAACGAGTGATGGAAAGACATCGTCAAGGAGTGGGATAGGTATTACCGTTTTGCCGACGACACATTTATCTTAGTTGATGGCGATGTAAGCATAGATGAATTGTTGATGAAATTCAACAACATCCAACCTCCGCTTACTTTGACTTGTGAAGACGAGTAAGAAAGTAAACTACATTTTCTGGATGTCTTGCTGAGTAGGCGAGAAGATAGGTCACTTGGGAGAAGCGTGTACACAAAAAAGTACATTCATAAGGCAGCACAGTAACTCTCTTAGACACGCGCCTGTTAAAGAGAAAAGAGATATTCCTAAACATCTTATGGGCAAAGCAAGAAAGGCGTGTACGAATGATCACTTACAAAACGAGTTTGGGTATATTCATTATGCATTGATGGAGACAGTCTGTTTGCGCAGAATAGGAGATCTGAAACGATGACAGCACAGAAGAAACCTCTGTTTATTAAGTAACAATTTAAAAGTGACTTGTCAAGTGAGATTTTGTTCTAGAGACGTTTCAGGAGTATACGAAGAACTTATGTTCGTTATTCTGTAATCGACGAATGTTTGGGACACAAACGAAGGATAAGCTAGACAGTTTAGCGTCGGTGCGTCGGTGGCACAGTGGTTAGGACTCTCACCGACCATGCACATGGTTCGAGGTTCGATCCCCTGCCGACGCACACCTGATATCTATGGTCGGCCTGCAAAATTCGGGCTACCGATATCCATGCTGAAAATTCCATACTTGTACAAAAAATACAGTGTGGAATCAAGCTGTAATCAAAAATTAAAAAAAATTAAAAAAATCTGTGTAATTATCAGTTCAACTGCTCTGGCAGTGTTTGGAGTACTACTAGAGAGCCTAGCTAACGTGTTGCTGAACATCTACCATCGTGATTTGGTGAGGATCAGACAAAAATCATCCGTAGCTTCATTCTGTCACATTTCATGGCTAGGAATCACTGAGTGAAGAAATCGAAAGCATTCAGCGTAGTTCATCCAATCTCAATGAATCTTTCCAATGTAATCAGGATTCATTCATCCACTACATAGGGCTAAAGTGATAGGCATTCGAACTATTAGTCCCATAGTATGCATTCAAAAGAAGTTCGTATGGTCATTATCTCTCCCTTAGCCAAGTAAGACATAACAAACTGATGATGTCAAACCCTCTCTTATCATTCCTTAATCTTATCACATAATTCATTAAAACGTATTTCGTTAACTTCCCTTTCACTCTTGCATTACTTAATTGCATCATTTGTTTTCCTTAGACTTTAATGACTACTATGTTCACCTGAACACTTGTTTGTTTGATCATGCTGTTTTCGATTATTCCTGTTATCACAGATCACCCCATTCTCATTAATTTGTGTTCATGACAGGATCATTATTATGATGATGACTAGCTGCATAATTCACATGCACAATCTTATTATCCTACTGACAAACTACCATGACTGGTTTCTATTTTATTATTTATTTGTAAAGTTATGTGGGTATATTAGAGCAAAGCCTGATAATCTATATTGTAAAAAACAGTATCGTTCGCATGGAGAAAGAATAATTGTTCTCTGATTGACGTATATTTTTGTTTAAATATACACTATAAACGTAGTATGCTAAGCCTTAATTTTCTCAGTAAAATACAAATTGCCTGAAGCTAGTTAGTGAGGTGTGTGTGTATTTTTGCGAGCAGTAGTGTTATACGCTATTTTATTTCTGTTAATTTGGATTGTATTATATAGATTGACTTATACAGAATTCAGATGCTTGGGCTTTTTGTTGACATGTCAGCTGCTAGAAGAGACGTATCAATGATGTCTGATAGATGTTGAATAGCCATGGAAACAGCGATGTGCACTTCACTAAAATAAACATTCCCTTACAACCGATTGTTTCCGTGCCAAGAACACACCAAATTAAAATCTATGCAAGGAAGTTTTCAGAAAATTAAAATATCTGGTGGAATTATCCGACCATTCTATCAATTTGCCAATCCAGTTTTTAGAGAAAATCATTCAGCTGGGTGAGAATGAAATAATGGTGTCTTTTGACGTCAGATGGTCCAAAACTAGCAAAAGAAACTATGCAACGATGAGAACAGAAAAATGCTGGTTATCTTACTTAACCTCCGTCTCTTCTATGTTCACTTGGAGTCCTGTCTTTACGACTTCTTCTCTCCCAATTTGTTAGTTTTATCCTGTATGTATTCAAGTTTGTGTTACATGAGACATATTTTGTTCGTAAATATATTCTCCTCCTTTCGCCTCCCACGAACAGTGTTCCACATCATCCAGTCCTCATAATACTCCGCAGGAGTTCAAGGCTTCAGGGTACCAAGCTACATCGCTTCGGGGGCCGATCCTTGGTAAGCTTGTGTCTACTTACTACTTTGAAATTCCACTGGAAGCGTTGAAATTGTTGACCTAGTCTCTGTCATCTGTTTTTAGTCATTTACGATCTGATTCTTGATTATGAAGCTTTCAATGCCTTTTTAGACATCTTTGCAACCGAATCCAGCTCAGATGATATCTGCCAGAGCTATTGGTCTTTCTCAATCGTTCTTATTTTCTGTAGATAAGGTGTCCACGTACATCATGTCTGAAATTCCTTGGAAAATGCTCTTCATCGTGATTGCAGTCAATTTAAAGTCATTTTTAAAAAGTGGGAAGACAGTATCGTTCGCTTATATGTGTTGTTCTAAACTGTGGTAAATGTGTTTTGCAGGGCCTACTAACATTTTACAGCTAATTCATTTATTTGACTCATACCTGCCGTCATACTCTTTCTCACATTACTGGGCGTATATATATATACAAGTATGAAGAACCAGGGGGTACTCTTATTAGCAACCAATTAATGTTAGGAACTCCTGTAGAAGTGGTTGGGCAACAAATGGAGTAGACAGTGTTCCCAACTGTCAAAGTCAAATTATGGACATGATAAGCAAACTGCATATTCATTGTTCTTTTTAAAAATGACTTTAAATTGACTGCAATCACGATGAAGAGCATTTTC